ATTGCTGTATAAAAAGGTATACAGTATAGGATTTTGGGAGGCAATTATTAAATAATAAAACCGTAGATCAATATGAAAATCACCACAGCGGTAGACAGTGAGATGAAGAACAATAATCTGGTGGAATTTGCTGAAAACAATTTGATTTAATTTTTTTATGAATTTATTAAATATTGCTGTATAAAAAGGTATACAGTATAGGATTTTGGGAGGCAATTATTAAATAATAAAACCGTAGATCAATATGAAAATCACCACAGTGGTAGACAGTGAGATGAAGAACAATAATCTGGTGGAATTTGCTGAAAACAATTTGATTTAATTTTTTTATGAATTTATTAAATATTGCTGTATAAAAAGGTATACAGTATAGGATTTTGGGAGGCAATTATTAAATAATAAAACCGTAGATCAATATGAAAATCACCACAGTGGTAGACAGTGAGATGAAGAACAATAATCTGGTGGAATTTGCTGAAAACAATTTGATTTAATTTTTTTATGAATTTATTAAATATTGCTGTATAAAAAGGTATACAGTATAGGATTTTGGGAGGCAATTATTAAATAATAAAACCGTAGATCAATATGAAAATCACCACAGTGGTAGACAGTGAGATGAAGAACAATAATCTGGTGGAATTTGCTGAAAACAATTTGATTTAATTTTTTTATGAATTTATTAAATATTGCTGTATAAAAAGGTATACAGTATAGGATTTTGGGAGGCAATTATTAAATAATAAAACCGTAGATCAATATGAAAATCACCACAGTGGTAGACAGTGAGATGAAGAACAATAATCTGGTGGAATTTGCTGAAAACAATTTGATTTAATTTTTTTATGAATTTATTAAATATTGCTGTATAAAAAGGTATACAGTATAGGATTTTGGGAGGCAATTATTAAATAATAAAACCGTAGATCAATATGAAAATCACCACAGTGGTAGACAGTGAGATGAAGAACAATAATCTGGTGGAATTTGCTGAAAACAATTTGATTTAATTTTTTTATGAATTTATGAAATATTGCTGTATAACAAGGTATACAGTATAGGACTTTGGGAGTTAATTATTAAATAATAAAACAGTAGATCAACATGAAAATCACCACAGTGGTAGACAGTGAGATGAAGAACAATAATCTGGTGGAATTTGCAGAAAACAATTTGATTTAAAAATGTTATGAATTTATGAAATATTGCTGTATAACAAGGTATACAGTATAGGACTTTGGGAGGCAATTATTAAATAATAAAACAGTAGATCAACATGAAAATCACCACAGTGGTAGTCAGTGAGATGAAGAACAATAATCTGGTGGAATTTGCAGAAAACAATTTGATTTAAAAATGTTATGAATTTATGAAATATTGCTGTATAACAAGGTATACAGTATAGGATTTTGGGAGGCAATTATTAAATAATAAAACAGTAGATCAACATGAAAATCACCACAGTGGTAGACAGTGAGATGAAGAACAATAATCTGGTGAAATTGGCAGAAAACAATTTGATTTAAATTTTTTATGAATTTATTAAATATTGCTGTATAACAAGGTATACTGTATAGGATTTTGGGAGTTAATTATTAAATAATAAAACAGTAGATCAATATGAAAATGCCCACAGTGGTAGACAGTGAGATGAAGAACAATAATCTGGTGAAATTGGCAGAAAACAATTTGATTTAAATTTTTTATGAATTTATTAAATATTGCTGTATAACAAGGTATACTGTATAGGACTTTGGGAGTTAATTATTAAATAATAAAACAGTAGATCAATATGAAAATCCCCACAGTGGTAGACAGTGAGATGAAGAACAATAATCTGGTGAAATTGGCAGAAAAAAATTTGATTTAAAAATGTTATGAATTTATGAAATATTGCTGTATAACAAGGTATACAGTATAGGATTTTGGCAGTTAATTATTAAATAATAAAACAGTAGATCAATATGAAAATCACCACAGTGGTAGACAGTGAGATGAAGAACAATAATCTGGTGGAATTTGCAGAATTTTTTTTTTAATTTTTTTTTATGAATTTATTAAATATTGCTGTATAACAAGGTATACAGTATAGGACTTTGGCAGTTAATTGTTAAATAATACAACAGTAGATCAACATGAAAATCACCACAGTGGTAGTCAGTGAGATGAAGAACAATAATCTGGTGGAGTTTGCAGAAAACAATTTGATTTCGATTTTATATTAGTTTATTAATTATTGCTGTATAGCAATGTAAATATTCATGAGTTTGGCAGACAATTATTAAATAATAAAACAGTAAAACAACATGAAAATCACCACAGTGGTAGACAGTGAGATGTAGAACAATAATCTGGTGGAGTTTGCAGAAAACAATTTGATTTCGATTTTATATTAGTTTATTAATTATTGCTGTATAGCAATGTAAATATTCATGAGTTTGGCAGACAATTATTAAATAATAAAACAGTAAAACAACATGAAAATCACCACAGTGGTAGACAGTGAGATGTAGAACAATAATCTGGTGGAATTTGCAGAAAACAATTTGATTTGCATTTTTTATGAATTTATTAAATATTGCTGTATAAAAAGGTATACAGTATAGGATTTTGGGAGGCAATTATTAAATAATAAAACCGTAGATCAATATGAAAATCACCACAGTGGTAGACAGTGAGATGAAGAACAATAATCTGGTGGAGTTTGCTGAAAACAATTTGATTTAATTTTTTTATGAATTTATTAAATATTGCTGTATAAAAAGGTATACAGTATAGGATTTTGGGAGGCAATTATTAAATAATAAAACCGTAGATCAATATGAAAATCACCACAGTGGTAGACAGTGAGATGAAGAACAATAATCTGGTGGAATTTGCTGAAAACAATTTGATTTAATTTTTTTATGAATTTATTAAATATTGCTGTATAAAAAGGTATACAGTATAGGATTTTGGGAGGCAATTATTAAATAATAAAACCGTAGATCAATATAAAAATCACCACAGTGGTAGACAGTGAGATGAAGAACAATAATCTGGTGGAATTTGCTGAAAACAATTTGATTTAATTTTTTTATGAATTTATTAAATATTGCTGTATAACAAGGTATACAGTATAGGACTTTGGGAGTTAATTATTAAATAATAAAACAGTAGATCAATATGAAAATCACCACAGTGGTAGACAGTGAGATGAAGAACAATAATCTGGTGGAATTTGCAGAAAACAATTTGATTTGCATTTTTTATGAATTTATTAAATATTGCTGTATAAAAAGGTGTACAGTATAGGATTTTGGGAGGCAATTATTAAATAATAAAACAGTAGATCAATATGAAAATCACCACAGTGGTAGTCAGTGAGATGAAGAACAATAATCTGGTGGAGTTTGTAGAAAACAATTTTATTTTATTTTTTTATGAATTTATCAAATATGGCTATATAGCCAGGTATACAGTCTAGGATTTTGGCAGTTAATTATTAAATAATAAAACAGTAGATCAATATGAAAATCACCACAGTGGTAGTCAGTGAGATGAAGAACAATAATCTGGTGGAGTTTGCAGAAAACAATTTGATTTCGATTTTATATTAGTTTATTAATTATTGCTGTATAGCAATGTAAATATTCATGAGTTTGGCAGACAATTATTAAATAATAAAACAGTAAAACAACATGAAAATCACCACAGTGGTAGACAGTGAGATGTAGAACAATAATCTGGTGGAATTTGCAGAAAACAATTTGATTTGCATTTTTTATGAATTTATTAAATATTGCTGTATAACAAGGTATACAGTAGAGGATTTTGGCAGGTAATTATTAAATAATAAAACAGTAGATCAATATGAAAATCACCACAGTGGTAGACAGTGAGATGAAGAACAATAATCTGGTGGAGTTTGCAGAAAACAATTTGATTTAAAAATTTTATGAATTTATGAAATATTGCTGTATAAAAAGGTATACAGTATAGGATTTTGGGAGGCAATTATTAAATAATAAAACAGTAGATCAATATGAAAATCACCACAGTGGTAGTCAGTGATATGAAGAACAATAATCTGGTGGAGTTTGCAGAAAACAATTTGATTTAAAAATGTTATGAATTTATGAAATATTGCTGTATAACAAGGTATACAGTATAGGACTTTGGGAGGCAATTATTAAATAATAAAACAGTAGATCAACATGAAAATCACCACAGTGGTAGTCAGTGATATGAAGAACAATAATCTGGTGGAGTTTGCAGAAAACAATTTGATTTCAATTTTTTATGAATTTATTAAATATTGCTGTATAACAAGGTATACAGTATAGGACTTTGGCAGTTAATTATTAAATAATAAAACAGTAGATCAATATGAAAATCACCACAGTGGTAGTCAGTGAGATGAAGAACAATAATCTGGTGGAGTTTGCAGAAAACAATTTGATTTCGATTTTTTATTAATTTATCAAATATGGCTATATAGCCAGGTATACAGTATAGGACTTTGGCAGTTAATTATTAAATAATAAAACAGTAGATCAACATGAAAATCACCACAGTGGTGGTCTGTGAGATGTAGAACAATAATCTGGTGGAATTTGCAGAAAACAATTAGATTTTATTTATTTTATTATGAATATTTTTTAAAAAGTCTGCCGACACCAAGCGCATACACCTTGAGCCTACCACGCAACCTCGTGTAGACGCGCAATCTATTTTTAAGCGTAGATGGCGTGACCGCGCTTTTCTGAAGCACAGATGGCGTGACCGCAGTAACGATAGGGGGCCTAAAACACCCTTCAGGCCTTTACGCATTACCATCATCTTAATGCTCCTCCACAATCATCTGCAGAGAAGCCAGCGGCATTCTTAACAGATGACAATGGAGAGCAGTCTAGCATAATGCTTTCAAATCACTGCAATGAGAGCTTTTGTTATCCCAACCAGATCTCAATATTAAGCGACTTTAGAGACTTAGACACACTATATGTGCGCGCACACACCTTCTCCAGTAACTGGCGGAGCTGTCTGCTCTTTGCATCTCTGGAGCACAAGCTCTGTTCTGGTGCCACCACCGTACAGATGCAGCGGCCGTCGGCATCCTGCGCTGAACTGTACACCTGCCAGCCTTCCTTTGGTCTGATGGTCTGTACACAAACACAGGCATGCGTGAGGTATCCCACTGTTTTTTTTGTCTACAAATAAACATAAATACAAATCTAAAACTCTAATGACCTTCTTAATGCAATGAAGGCATTTTTATGCCTTTAAGCAGAGAAACTGAAATGGAGATATTTCATGAGAACTACAATAAATTTGCATGGCACAGCATTCACTGCCAGTGCTTTGTTTTATTAACCATTTAGTTTGAAATGTATAACTTATTACATTTGTTAAATGGAGAGAATATTGTGTAAAAATGCAAATCGGTGTGTGTGTGTAAATATGGGGAGATATTGTTTTTAAAGGGGTCATGAAATGATAAATCAAGTTTGCCCCTTTAAAATTAATGGCCTGCCTCAAATTTCTTGATTGCACAAGCATAGCCCTCATATTTATTGCTAACTTTTCAGTAACACTTTTCTTATGGTGTGTTCACACCGAACGCGAATAGAGCGTCAAATACGCGTCTATCGCGTCTAGTTAGACGCTTGAACATTCGCTCGAGTTCAAATTTTTCAACTTGCGCGGAAGACATTCGCGGCAAACGCGTCGCCCAATTCGCGTCATTCGCAACGCCCGGCGCGAATGATGCGTCTATTCGCGTTTTTGCATTGACTTTGTATGTAATCTACTCGCGCAAATAATTAAATTCGCATTCGGTGTGAACACACCATTAGTCTTTATATATAATTGTAATGCACCTTATAATGCATTGTATGATCTGAATAATTGTAACCACAGTTATTATATATTTTAATACTATTCACAGTTACACCTTAAAACGCCAAAACAACCAATTTCAGATGTAACTGCAAATACTATAATATTAACTTTGGTTAATAGACATAATGCAATATAATGTAGCTACATTATGAATACCTTTATAATGCATTATACATAGACTTTTAAGTAAAGTGTAACCAAACTTTCTGGCTGAAAGGATCCCAAATCTGTGTCTCTGTATAATACATTATACGCTTCCTTTTAAATATATTTTCAAATTAATACAAGCACAGGAGAAATAATAGTTATGTTTCTATGTACTTCACTGAATATTAATTTCGATTCACACTGATTCATGATTCTGAAACCAATTCAAGCACACACCACATGCCAGGCCAAAAATAGTGTGTTTTGACGACAAATAGCATCCCACTGCAACACCTTCATGATAAAGCCTCTCTCTCTGCATTCATCCCCCCAAATTTCCCTCAATTGTCTGCAACAATAAAGGAGCTTTGTAAACACCCATATTCATTTTCCCCACTCTCGCAGCGGGCTTTGAAAGGCCGGCTCTGGGGACTAGCCTTTTACAGGCGAGCTGAAAAAGAGAGTTTTTTACACATTCTGGCACACTTCCTCATGCTGCTGCAACTAACAACTGCAATTTCAGCAAATTGTAACATATCCAAGTTGGATGGGTACTTCCTGCTAGTTCACTATCATTATGAGATATGAGCAGAGGGATTCTGCTCCTCAAATAAGACCTGCAGCTGGGTTAATTAAGCCTAGATGAGAGAGATCCTCATCACAATCTCACAGACACTACGGATTTCTTTGGTTTCCAGTCACACATGACATGTGAAATGCATGCAGTTATCTTGGTGCTACATGATAAATAGTTGATCTGATCTTGACCCAGTGCCAAAATAAACCCTTAGGAATTGCATACAGATTACTAGTGGTGCTGAGAATAGACTCAGAACGCTAAGGAAGAAAACATTTCCTCATTTAAACTCTTTATCAACATCCGGAACTGTAGATTACTATTGAGCTCTCGATATAACAGTACTAAAATAGTACATTACAACTTTATATTATGTCTTTAACTATTTACTGTTAAAATTACAATGTTAAAATTACGTGCTGTTACACTGCATATTTAAAACAACTGCATGTAATTCTTGTACTTACTGAAGGAAACATGCATCTTCATTTACATTGCAGAGTAAACAGTGATATAATAGTTGTAATAGAGTGGAGAAAAGAGATGATGGGAAGAAAAGAGGGGCGGTGGTGGGCTACACGGTAACTCTTGTTCTGTAAAAAGTCACATGCAATATTCATGCACTGTTTATTTGTCCAACAGGGAGCCTAATACAAACCTTATTCATAACGCTATCCCTAACCTTAGTAGCAGCAAATGGAAATCTCATGACAGTTCCTAAGAACAACATACATAAGTGCATTGTATCACACGATTTATATTTTAATGTAAATAGCATTTATCTAAAAAAAGACACCTAAGATAAAGTGTGACCTAAGGTAAAATAAACAGCCAATGCTCGGTACAGACTGATGCTTAAAACCTTTGAAACAACACCAGAAATAAGAGACCGCAAGCTGAAATCTTTAATGCACAGTAGATCATTCACTATAACAGAACCGACGGTCTAATAATATTCTGTGACTATTTGAGCTAGAATCATAGAGAAAGTTACATGAAATAGAAACACAGTGTTAGGGTACTCCACGTCTATCAAGATTTGTTTTTATCCCACGTTAAGTGGTACTGCATTTCCTACTCTCCATCTCTCTGAGGTTGTCATTAAAATGATATTATCGGAAGAACGCAAAATTCTCATAATAAGACATCATAATATAACACTGACAGCCTTGTTTGTCACTTTGCATATACATTTAGTGTTGCGTATGTTCTATGAGTCACTGGTGTAGTCGGAGCTGGGCTCAGACATGTCAAGTTTCTGTCTAAGTCAGTAAGGTGCGGGTGCGCATCACTCACCGCGGAAGGGCAGTAGCCGAGCAGAGCGAGAAAACACAGCGGTTTCAGCACCACGAACAGCGCCCGCATTCTGCCTCCAGACGAGTCTCTCCTACGTCTGTGTTACAAGCGGATTCAGTCTCCGATGTTTCAGATCGAGCTTCTCGACAGTGTCTTGGGATCGGGAACCCTCGACAGAGCCGCTGAAAGTGCGTGCGCTGTCATCGTCGCTCTGAGCGAAGAAAAGTTTGAGATGTGTGGAGACTCTCAGCGGATATTACATCATTACAGCATTTCAGTGCGGGGTTACTCTTTCATTAACCAAACTTAATATATTTAAGAGTAGGTTAAAGGGATAAAATCACGACTTTTATGTCTTTGCAACGCGAGGAGGAGTAAGGATTAAACATAACCAAAATGTTCATTAGATGTTGCTCAATAGAGGTGAGAATTGTAAAGAATCGAACGATGTTCCTTAATTATTAACGATTATTTTAGCGATTTTGGAGAACAGATATTTGGAAAAAAGGAATTATAATTGTACTTTTTAAAGTGGCATACATTTAACAAAATCATAATTGCTAGAAGCTAAATAAAATTAATTAAACAACAACAAAAAAAGGTGGTTATATTTTTTTTTTATTCTGCATTCCTTTTTTTCTCAACACTTGAATATGGGTAAGTTTAATATATATATATACACTACCGTTCAAAAGTTTGGGGTCAGTGAGAATTTTATTTTTATTTTTTGGAGGAAAGAAATCAATACTTAATTTGATCGAAAGTGACAGTAAAGACATTTATAATGTTACAAAAGATTCTATTTCAAACAAATGCTGTTCTTTTGAACTTCCTATTCATCAAAGAATCCAAAAAAACAAAAAAAAAAAACTGTACAACTGACAGACCAACAACTGTTTCAACATTGATAATAATAATAAATGTTTCTTGAGCATCAAATCCTCATATTATACTGATTTGTGAAGGACACTGAAGACACTGACACTGGTGATGCTGAAAATTCAGCTTTGATCACAGGAATAAATTACACTTTACTATATATTCACACAGAAAACAGCTGATTTACACTGGAATAATATTTAATACTATAACTGATTTTTGTTGTATTTTTAATCAAATAAGCGCAGCCATGGTTAGCAGAAGAGAATTCTTTTAAAAGTATTTAAAATCGTACCGACCCCAAACTTTTGAACGGTAGTGTATATATATATATATATATATATATATATATATATATATATATATATATATATATATATATATAAAAGCTGAGAATACTATACATCTGGATGGGAATCAGAACGATTCAGAATGAGATTTTGTGTCATCTATCAGGAGAAAAAAATAAAGTGGGGGTGGGAGGGTCATCTTACCCCGACTTGGTGTTGTGTCACACAGAATAGCCCAACAGTGCGGGAATACTCTCAGAAAGAATATTGCGCTATAAAACTGTTATTGGTTTCCAAACCTATTTCTCTCATACTTTTTGAGGCCTACTACAACTGGTCGTTTCATTAACCAAGAACATTATCTACTACAGATACAGATATGTATGCTAAAATTACCTCATCAGAGCATAAACTTTCACTGCACCTCTGCTCATATTCTCAATTAGTTGCTTGGCAACATGTGTGGTTAGCCTGTCTTTTTTTAGAGGTAGACTTCTCTCTTTATCTGTTCCTTTATCAAAAGAGAAAGTCTTTTGTTTATTTTAGTGTCATGTCCGTTTAATCGATGTCAGTGAAATAACATTTATTTGAAGACATTACTGCCCAATTAAAAAAAGTTTGAAGTTTGAATGATGAATGCAATCATTTAAAAGCCAGGAATGCACCACTGAAATCTGACGGCACCAGCTGGGTGTGTATATTTTAAAACTCAGTTCTCCTATATAGCAGAAGCTGCAAGAGTCACCTTGCTACCTTCCAGGAGGTGCCCACCCCTCGAGAACACATCAGTCAAGCTATGTATCAAACCTCAAAGCAGCTGCAGACAAGACATCTCAGAGGCTGTCTTCATACCGCAAGCCAACATGTGTCAACCATAGAGCGAGAGAGAGAAAATCAATAACCATGCCCCAATGAACAGTTATCTTTCTCGTTATGGGCAGATTTTCAAACACTAAGATTAAAGAAGGGATGAAATACTGTATGAACTATAAGGGATAATGTAGTCAAGTTTTATTTTGCAGTACTGTTGACTGTACATTATTCCACTTATTACAAGGGTTACAAAAGTCTGGGAATTTAAGTTGGAAACTTTCCATAGTAATTAACCGGACTACATGGGAATTAATGTTAATAAACTGGAAATGACTACTTTTCTTAAAAAGAATTGCTACTTTCCCTAAAATGATTCGCTACTTTCCTTATAAAGAATTGCTACTTTTTCAAAAAAGAATCAATACTTTCCTTAAAATAAATCACTACTTTTTCTAAAAGAATCGCTACTTTTCCTAAAAAGAATCGCTACTTTTTCAAAAAAGAACTGCTACTTTTCCTAAAAAGAATTGCAAAATTTATTAAAAAAGAATCTATATGTATATTCAAAACTAATAGCTACATCCATCCGAAATTAATCGATTTGTTTAAAAAGAATCGCTACTTTTCCTAAAATGAATCGATACTTTCCTTAAAATGAATCGATACTTTCCTCAAAAGAAATCACTACTTTTCAAAAAAGAATCGCTACTTATCTTAAAATAAATTGCTACTTTAAAAAAAAAAACGAATCGATACTTATTCTGAAATGAATCGATACTTAAAAAAATGAATCGATACTTTTCCTAAAATGAATCGATACTTTCCTTAAAATTCCTTAAAAAAGAGATAATATTTCAAAAATTAATCGCAACTTTTCTTGAAAAATGAATCGCTAATTTTTCAGATAGAATCACTACTTTTCTTAAAAAGAATCGCTACATTTCTCATAATGAATTGTTACTTTTCCTAAAAAGAATTGCCAAATTTATTCAAAAAGATTCTCTGTTTATTCAAAACTATTAGCTACATCCATCCGAAATGAATAGCTACTTTCGTCAAAATGAATCGCTACTTTCATCAAAATGAATCGCTACTTTTCAAAAAAGAATCGATATTTTTCCTCAAAATAGATCGCTACTTTTCAAAAAAGAATCGTTACTATCCTCAAAAAGAATCGCTACGTTACTCAAAATGAATCGATACTTTTTCAAAAAGAACCAATACTTTACTCAAAATGAATCGCTACTTTAAAAAAAAGAATCGATACTTTAAAAAAAAGAATCAATATTTTTCCTCAAAATGAATCGCTATTTTTGTCAAAATGTATAGCTACGTTTCTAAAAAAGAATAGCTTCTTTTGTCAAAATGAATCGCTACTTTTTCAAAAAAGAATCTGTATTTTCGTCAAAATGAAACGCTACATTTCAAAAAAAGAATAGATACTTTTAAAAAATAAATCGTTATTTTTCTCAAAAAGAATCGCTACTTTCCTAAAAAATTAATCGCTACTTTCCTCAAAATGAATCTCTACTTTTTCAAAAAAGAACCAATACTTTCCCCAAAATGAATCGCTAATTTCGTTAAATTGAATTACTACCTTTTCAAAATGAATCGCTACTTTTCAAAAAGTAATCGCTACTTTTCAATAAAGAATCACTACTTTTCCTCAAAAAGAAATCACTACTTTTTCTAAAATGAATCGATACTTTTCTAAAAAAAGAATCGCTACTTTACTCAAAATGAATCGATACTTTTTCAAAAAGAACCAACACTTTACTCAAAATGAATCGCTACTTAAAAAAAAGAATCGCTAATTTAAAAAGAAAAGAATCGATACTTTTCAAAAAAGAATCGCTACATTTATCAAAATGAAAATATACTTTCTTAAAATGATTCACTACTTTTCAAAAAAGAATCATTATTTTTCAACAAAGAATCGCTACTTTCATCAAAATGAATCTTTACTTTAAAAAAAACAATCGATATTATTCTTTAAAATGAATCGCTACTTTTCAAAAAAGAATCGCTACTTTCCTCAAAATGAATTGCTACTTTCCTCAAAATGAATCGCTACTTTAAAAAAAACAATAGATATTATTCTTTAAAATGAATCGCTACTTTTCAAAAAAGAATCGCTACTTTCCTCAAAATGAATTGCTACTTTCCTCAAAACGAATCGCTACTTTTAATAAAACAATAGATATTTTTCCTCAAAATGAATCGCTACTTTTCAAAAAAGAATTGCTACTTTCATCAAAATGAATTGCTACTTTCGTCAAAATGAATCGCTACTTTCGTCAAAATGAATCGCTACTTTTAAAAAAACAATAGATATTATTCTTTAAAATGAATCGCTACTTTTCAAAAAAGAATCGCTACTTTCATCAAAATGAATTGCTACTTTCGTCAAAATGAATCGCTACTTTTGTCAAAATGAATCACTAATTTTCTAAAAAGAATCGCTACTTCGTCAAAATGAATCGCTACTTCAAAAAACAATCGATATTTTTCTTTAAAATGAATCGCTACTTTTCAAAAAAAGAATCGCTACTTTCCTCAAAATGAATCGCTACTTTAAAAAAAACAATAGACATTTTTCCTTAAAATGAATCACTACTTTTAAAAAAAGAATTAGTACTTTCATCAAAATGAATCGCTACTTTCGTCAAAATGAATCACTAATTTTCAAAAAAAGAATCGCTACTTCGTCAAAATGAACTGCTACTATTCAATAAAGAATTGAAATTTTATTCAAAATGAATCGCTATGTTTTCAAAAACAACCAATACTTTACTCACAATGAATCGATACTTTTTCAAAAATAATCGATACTTTCCTCAAAATGAATCGCTACATTTCTAAAATAGAATAGATACTTTTGTCAAAATGATTTGCTACTTTTCAAAAAAGAATAGATACTTTTCAAAAATGAATCGTTATTTTTCTCAAAAAGAATCTTTTCTTTTTTCTTTTTTTACTTTCCTAAAAAAGAATTGCTACTTTCATCAAAATGAATCGCTAATTTTTCAAAAAAGATTCGCTACTTTCCTCAAAATAAATCGTTACTTTTCAAAAAAGAAAGGCTACTTTTCTCAACAAGAATGACTACTTTTTCAAAAAAGAATCGCTACTTTCCCCCAAATGAATCGCTACTTTTAAAAAAAGAACCAATACTTTACTCAAAATGAATCGCTTCTTTTTCTAAAATGAATCGATACTTTTTCCAAAATTATTTGATACTTTTTCCAAAATTAATAACTACTTTTAAAAAAAGAATCGA